TTTTTTTTTTTTTTTTTTCGAATTTTGAAAAACTATACAATTAAATAAAATTTTTAAATGGTTCATCAAGTCCTTTTTAAATGTTTTATAAAATTTAGACCCTCTGATCAAACTGGCCACCAGAAGAAAGAAAATGAAACACCAGAAGCTGGAGACTTTGCTGGGACAACTGAGATCCCTTGAACAAAAACACCAAACTGTGCCAACAGAGGGCACCCTCAGGCAACTGGAAGCAGTAAGATGGGGCATCCGCAATCTACTACTGGACGATACGGCTAGATCCATGGCCTGGTCAAAAAGGACATTTTTTGAAAAGGCGAACAAGATGGACACCCTCCTGGCCAGGACGCTTCGGCCGAGGCAAGAGAGGTCCCACATAACGGCAATCAAACATCCGGATGGCACGACGAGATGAAGACCAGTTGAGATAGCAAAGATCTTCGAGAATTTTTATAAAAGATTGTATAACCACTCACCGGACGGAAGCCCCCACGGGGAGCATGAGGAAGAGTATATATTGCAATACCTGGACAAGCTAGGGTTGACCAGATTGAGTGGAGAGGCAGCACGCATTCTGGCGGCAGATATTTCGGAAGAAGAAGTGGACAAAGCTATCTCGAGTCTGAAAGGCAATAAAGCACCGGGTCCAGACGGATTCGATGGCTCATATTACAAAATCTTCAGAGAAGAGCTAACACCTCAACTGGTTCGACTTTTTGATAACCTACGGCAGGGCGGACAATTGGACCCTGACATGTCACTGGCGACCATAGTGCTATTGCCCAAGCCCGTAAAGGACCCACTATACCCAGAAAACTACAGGCCCATATCGTTGATCAACCACGATCTGAAGATCTTGGCGAAAATACAAGCAGACAGGCTGAACCCGTTGTTGAACTCTCTCATTCATGCAGACCAGGTTGGGTTTATCCAAAGTCGACAATTGTTTCAAAACACTAGAAGGAACATAGATTTGATTTGGAAGCAAGTGGCCTCAGGGACCCCCACGTTAGTGGTATCCATAGATGCAGAAAAAGCCTTCGATAGAGTCCGGTGGCAATTTCTTTTTCTAGTCTTGAAGAGTCTGGGCTTCCAGACAGACGAATGAATGAACAGAAATGTCAGCCGAACAAACAAACACTGAATATCAGTGTTTGTTTGTTTGTTCAGTTTATTACAAGGAGGGAGCTACCGGCACGCAGCTCCCTCCTTGTAATATGTAACTATAGAAGCGGCAGGGAGCAGTGCTCCCCACCACTTCCTAAACCCCCCTGTACCCCCCTCACTCTATGGGGGTCAATATGATCCCCATAATAGCACAAGGGAGATTAAAATCCACATGCCTCCCCATGTTTGGCCCCCCCTGCGCGGCGGGTGGGGGCCATAATGATAATGATTATGATAATGGGGGGGGGACCTACTGTACTCCCCCCCCCGGCCCCCACCCCTGCGCGGCGGGTGGGGGCCATAATGATAATGAGGGGGGGACCTACTGTCCACACCCTTCCGGCCCCCACCCCTGGGCGGCGGGTGGGGGCCATAAAGATAATGAGGGGGGGACCTACTGTCCTCCCCCCCCAGCCCCCACCCCTGGGCGGCGGGTGGGGGCCATAATGATAATGGGGGGGACCTACTGTCCTCCCCCCCCGAGCCCCCACCTCTGGGTGGCGATTGGGGGCCATAATGATATCCTCCCCCCCCGGCCCCACCCCTGCGCGGCGGGTGGGGGCCATAATGATAATGGGGGGGGGGACCTACTGTCCACCCCCCTCCGGCCCCCACCCCTGGACGGCAGGTGGGGGCCATAAAGATAATGAGGCGGCGGGTGAGGGCCCTAAGTCATTTCCCCCCCCCTCAAGGTGACTAGTCACCCACCCCCCCACCCAAATAAAAAGTCCCTACCTACCCCCCTCACCCTAAAAAATAGTGAGGGGGGAATAAAATAACTAACCTGTAAAATAAAATTAAACTTACCATTCGACGTCTTCTTTTTTATAAAAATCTTCATTTTTCAGCCCCAAAAAAATAAAAAAACCATCATAACCGTCTAATTTAAAATAAAATAAAAATCCAGAGCGCAAAAAAAAACCCGACGAAAAAGAAAAAACCAGAGCGCAAAAAAAAATCCATCTTCACCCATGGAGGGCTCCGCGCAGACTGAGCTCCGCAGGGTGGGGGAAGGCTTATAAAGCCTTGCCCCGCCCTGCAATTAGGCTAAGAACACTCTGATTGGTGGGTTTAAGCCAATCAGAGTGCTCTTTTTTCATTTTACACAGCGTGGGAAAATTCAAAAGAATTTTCCCACGCTGTGTAAAATGACACAGAGCACTGTGATTGGATGTCTTGAAATCCATCCAATCACAGTGCTCTTTGTCATTTTACACAGCATGGGAAAGTTCTTTGGAATTTTCCCACGCTGTGTAAAATGACACAGAGCACTGTGATTGGATGGCTTGAAATCCATCCAATCACAGTACTCTGTCATTTTACACAGCGTGGGGAAATTACAAATTACAAATCAACAGATCACACTATTATATGCTCACCTTAGCGAAGAAAATGGAGCATGGGGAAGATTGACATGCACTGACCAATGGGAGACCGACCTCGGGGAGATTCTGGAGGGTGTCGAGTGGCAGGAGATATGGGAGGCGAATGCTAAAGTCTCAATATGTGTCACCTTCCAGGAGCAGGCATGGAAAACTATGTTTAGATGGTATACTACCCCAGTCAAACTGCATAGAATGCACAGACGGGAGACTGACTATTGCTGGAGGGGTTGTGGAGCCCGAGGAACATACATACACATGTGGTGGGAATGCCCGAAGCTATGTGGATTCTGGAGGTCCGTGGAGGATCTGTTGAGAAAGACGTTTGATAGACCCCTGAGAATGGATCCCTGGATATACTTATTGAATAGAGCTATGGACGGATGGACCAAAAGGGAACAGAAATTGGTACACAAGATTACTGTGTGTGCACGCCGAGCAATAGCGACAGCGTGGCTTTCACCAGAGGGCCCAGAATTCACAGGGGTTATTTCCAGAATCAAAGAATGTAGAATTATGGATGACCTAACGGCGAGGGTGAGAGGGACCATCGCGACATTCCAAAAAACCTGGGAACCATGGGACAATAGTGTAGTTGGCTCGAGTGGAGACTGAGGGCCTCCCCCCTCCGGGTATGAATCTAAAATGTAAACACCCCCACTAGAAAGGACTTCGCTGTCAATGAAGTGGCTGTGGAACCCCCGCCCTCCCCTTGACCCCCCCCTCTTCCCTTTTTACCTCACTAAGCTCTACTTACTCTCTCTCTCTTTTTTCTTCTTCTCTTTTCTTCTCTCTTTGTTCTTGTTTTATTTTTTCCAGGCAAGATCACACGGTCGGAGGAATAATGTAGCAAAGGTACGAGATTGATTAGCAAATCTAATGGCTACTTGTATTGCTTAACTGCCTGTTCTTATGTTAAACATAAAATACCTCAATAGACGGCGAGTGCCAAAGGTATAGTAAGAAACGGGCTTGCAATGATAAAGTTGACTTGTATTCCCTTGCAATGATATGTAATTCAATTGGCTTCTTTATAAGCCCAAAGGTGAATGTATACCTGTTGTGTTTATTGAAAAAATAAAGAATTAAAATTAAAAAAAATAATTAAGACCATCTGGGCCTGGATTGTTACGGAATTGTAGTCTGGTTATAGCTCTATTTGCCTCTTCTATATTTATATGGAGATTTAAATCTTATCTTTGGGATTCTGAAAGTTTAGGAAAATCAAGATTTTGTACGTATCAAGATCTATATCTTGTGAGTCATTTTCTATATTATATACATTTTTATAGTAGTTGTTAAAGGCCTTGCCTATATTGTTCGGGAGCAATATAGTTTTGTTTCCAATAGTTATTTTTGTGATCTTTTTAAAATTATTTTTTTTAAGTTTATCAGATAATTTATCTGCTCTGTTACCTTTGGCGTAGGATGTTATGTTTTTTCATTGCATTTATTTAGTTTTGTCTTCATTTAGTATTTATTTGTTCTTGTAATTTTAAAAGTTCCGAATAAGTTTGATTTGAAGGATGTTGTCTATTTAAAGTTGATAAATTATAAAATTGTATATATATATATATATATATATATATATATATATATATATAAAAAACTGCCAAACTTTTGCCTTGTTTTTTTCCCCCAAGTTCATAGTTTCATTAAAATGTCCCCTTATGACTGCTGTAAAAGGCACACCATTTATTTGCTGGAGATGTTTCCTTTGTTTGTTTGTTTTTTAAATATAGATAAAAAAAAATATATATATATATATGTATATTTAATTTTCTTCTGAATTAAGCAAATAGTCTTCATGGTGGTTTATGATTAAATTTAAATGAATCTTTAATTTCTAATACAAGAATAATGTGGTCTGACCATGTATTGCCTATTATATAGATTTTTTGAAATTCTATTTAAGAAAGACAAATTCCCACATATATAACCTATCCAGGAATAAGACAGGTGCACCCTGGAGAATTGGTATCATATCTTTCTCCTGGATGGAAAATTCTCCAAGCATCATACAAATCAAAACTATTGATGGTATTTGTTAAACTCGTAGCTTGCTTTTTAATTTGTTCCCATTTATCTGCCCTACATCCATAACCCTATTGAAGTCTCCGGCTACTTATAATCATACCTAGAAGTTTCTTTAGGAGATCCACTGGAGACACATTTGGCAAATACACATTCGCCAATGTAAATAACTCTTCATTCATCTTGCAAAGTATTCTCATGTGTCGTCCCAGAGGATCTAAGACTCGATAAATCACTTCAAAATTGATAGATTTTGCGATCATAATGGCTACACCTCTTTGCTCTTTTTCTTTATTTGAAGCATTCAGAATAATGAGGAAATCTTTTCATGTGAACCAGTTCCTATCCCCTTTACTCCAGTGTGTCTCCTGTAGAAAGGCAACATCTATTTTTTGTTTCTTTAAATAGAATTTTGTTCTGTATTCATTGCTTGCATGTTTACTTCAATTGTGTTTACATTTTCTGTATCTCTTGTTGCAGCTGTTTTGCGCTTTTTTATTTGAAGTAATGGTTTGTCAAAGCATTCTTGTAAGAAGTCTTGTGTAATAGAAGAGTCTACTTCATCATTAGAGGGGACAAATGTATATTGGATTTCTTCAGTTGTTGGATTTGTTTCATCTAGTGCTATTTTCCTTTCCACATCTTGGGTTACATTTGGTGAAAAGAATTATGGGAGCCTTTTAGTTCTTGATCCTTTGGTTTATCTTGGTCTTTTGTTACAGCGTTTTTTTCTGTTGCTATATTTTTATATATAAATATAACAGTGAGATCCAAAGGCCTATATTAGAAACCAAAAAATAAATAAAAATAAAAGTATGTGTAAGTTCTAGTCTTTTAAATCTATATCTCATGCAGTAGAGTAGGGAGCTCTGGGCTTCTTTTAATCCAGTCTTGGAGTATTTTTTGGTCTTCAAATTAGTCTCACAAAATTGCAGAAAAGTATATATCTTTGGTATGTCTTTACTTTTTCTCTTCCCTTTCCTTATTTGAGCTTTGCTTTTTATTGAGAGAAGGCTTTTAACCCTTTAGGGTAATTATTGCCATGGAAAGAACTTCTTTTTCGTTTTTTTCCCCTCCTATCTCCCTACATCTTTACCTTTGAGAGCAATTTAGGGAACTTTGTTAGATTTTTGGCTTTATGCTCTTCACATTTATTATATTTGCTGTTTCTTTTCCACAGACAGTATACATATTAAAGGTTATTTACCCGTTTGTTCGGTTATCTTATTTTCCTTAGGGCTTTATTTTATGGTTTGGTGCCAATCTCTCTCCCAGACTGTTTGTCTTGTGGTCTGCTTCCCTCTTTCTTTTCCACCATTACAGCAGCCCACACTTTCTTCTTGTGAACTTTACTTTTATAGTGTTCCTTTTATACATGATCTGGTGTTTTTCCTTACCCTCTCCACTTTCTCCTTAACCAATTAAACCTTTCCTTCTCTTCATGTGTTTCCCTCTCTACCTTAGCTTTCCTCTTTCTTTACCATTCATACCCCCCTTTTTGTTTTTCTCTTAGCCTTTCCACCCCAACCAGCCTCATTTGTGGAGTAGAAGTATCAACTAAGTTTGGGGTACCAGAGGTTTAGAGCAGTTGCCCCTATACATCTCATACCATTCAGTTCAACCATGGCCAAGCAGGACTGGACAGTTTTGTTCACTAGGTTGGATAGTATAAAATATGTACTCAAAACGGACTTGTCATTTTCTAACCAAAGAAATTATGCAGCAAGATAAAATAAAAAATTCACATGCAGGATTAGTTATAAAAATTCTAAAACTTTAATCAATTTGATAAAGTGAAATAAACTTATGACCAGCATACTTTGTTTTCTCATTAAGGCTGCATAAAGCATATCACTTGCATCGCAATATGAAATCTGACCTTTAAAAGCTCAGACTAACATGTGTTAAAGCTTTGAGTATAGACATTTTCATTGAAGCAGACTGGCAAAATTATTTGTATATGTTTTAAATTTCTTTTTCTGATCACTTTATCTTCAAATCTTTCAGTGCAGATTCCAGACTCTGTGGAGTAAGCAGAAACTATGTTAGAATACCTGATCAATTCACATTTACATACTACAAAGAAGCGGAAGAATTTGCCATTGAATTGGTTTATTTACTAAACTGTCAATTGTCAGGAAATTCAAAGGTAATTTCACATTTTAATGTACACAATCCAAACTGAAAACAGTCTTGGAGTGTTTTACCATCATCTGGTGAACACCCGAGTGTGTCTTTAATTATTATCACTGGTACATACACTATATGGACAAATGTATTAGGACACATCTATTAATGATTGAATTCAGATCCATTGTCACATGTGTATAAAATCAAGCATCTAGCTATGCAGTCTGCATTTACAAACATTTGTGAAAAAAATTGGTCATTCTGAAGAGTAAGCATGGTACTGTAAGAGTGCCACCTTTGCAATTTCATGCCTGCTAGATATTCCACGGTCAACTGTAAGTAGTATTATTGGAAAGTGGATTTCCAGCATTTAGGAACAGCAGCAATTCTGCCATGAAGTGGAAGACCACGTAAAGTACCAGACTGTGCTGAGGTGTGACAAGCATAGTGCGTAAAATTTGCCAACACTCTGCTGATTCCATAGCTGAAGAGTTCCAAACCTGCACTGGCCTATCAGCACAAAAACTGTGTAAAGGGAGTTTCATGGAGAGGGTTTCCATAGCGGAGCAGCTGCATGCAAGCCTCACATCACCATGTACAACTTGTAGCAGTTGAAACGTGTTCTGTGAAGTGATGAATCACTCTGATGGGAGAGTTTTGCAGATGCAGGGGGAGAATGTTACCTGCCTGACTGCATTGTGCCAACTGTAAATTTTGGTGGAAGGGGGAAAATAGTATGGGGCTGTTTTTCAGTGGTTGGGCCAGGCCCCTTTCTTCCAGTGAAAGGAAGTCTTGAAGATTCAGCATACCAAGACATTTTGAACAATTTTAGGCTTCCAGCTTTGTGGGAACAGTTAGGGGAAGGCCCTTTTCCATTCCAGCATGGCTGTGCCCAGGGCACAATGTAATGTCCATAAAGACATGGTTGGATGAGTTTGGTGTGGAAGAACTTGACTAGCCTGCACAGAACCCTGATCTCAATTCCATCTAACACCTTTTGGATGAATTGGAAGAGATTGTGAGCCAGGCCTTCTCGTTCAACATCAGTGCCTGACCTCACAAATGCTCTACTGGAAGAATGGGCAAAAATTCCCATATAAGTACTCCAAATTGTGGAAAGCCTTCCCAGAAGAGTGGAAGCTGTTACAGCTGCAAAGGGAGGACCATGCACATTAACGTATATATGTATTTCGAACGCAATGTCACAAAAGTCCCTGTTAGTGTAATGGCCAGGTGTCCTAATATGTTTGTCTATATATAGTGTATTTCTTCAACTTTACATTATGGTGTTCTCTCTGTGTAATAGCAGTATCATCTAAATTATTTTTACTGCAGATTTTATTTCTCAATGAAGTAGTCAGACATTTTTGTTGTGTGCAAAAACTAGAACGATTTGAGCATGCAAAAAACCCAAAAACCAGCATATTAATGAGGCCAAACTCTATCAATGCATTAAAGTTGCATTGGTGCCTGGACTGTTCCTTTAATATTGGGGTATAAGCATGCAATGGCTTTATACATGGATAGAGCTTTATTGTCTCTAACCCAACTCCCTATCACCTGTGGCACTGTGCCACTCACTAATTGGTACACACACACACACACACACACACACTTCTTCATACCCAGCATACACAAACCAAGCAAGGTGTTCTAGCAATACATTAGCTTACACTTTGAGAGACCCGGAGATCAAAGACCAAATGATGTTCCTTATATTTTCCACAAATATATGCATAGGATTGTGTGTTTATCAAATTGTTATCTGAAAAGTGTATTGTTTAGCTACAGTGTTTTAATAAAGGGCCTTTGCTGTCCCAGTGTAAAATGTATTGATTTAAAAATGTCACTCTGTTCAACTGTATAGTGTCAAACTGCATAGTCTGAAACCTTTATAATAAAAAAAAAACAACTTTTTTTAAATAGTATTTATATGGCAGTGAATAACCACTTTGATTTCATCTTCTAACTCTAAATTATACATTTTTGGTCAAAATCAGTTAAGAACAAAAGAAAGCCTCCAGGTCTACTACATTCCTGGTCAGTAGTTTAGACTTTAAAGTTATCAATTCTCCACAATTACCAGTTTAGTCGATAAAACTCTGTATACACTGTTCATTACTATTCAGGGTGGGACAAGAATATTCAACATATTAAAAAGTTATTACACACCTTAATGTCCCAGATACACATTCCTCCATCCATTCCAGTGGTGCAGAATTTGGAACATTTTACTTTGCCCCCACTCAGCACAGAGATTTGACTGTGAAAATGACATAATTATTATGAATTACTTAGGGAAACTAAATGTGAAAATTATTTTTTATTTTAATTTTAAGCATCTGTTTGCATAGTTGTGACCCCCGTGTTCCCCCTTACAGGTTTAAAAAAAAAAAAAAAAAACACAACAACAATAATTAACCTTTTTTTCTGGCACAGAGAATCAGTCCTGTCTGGCCTACCTCCTATTTCATCTTCATGTTTATTAAACTTTTCTTCCAATCAAATGCTTCTCATAGAGAGGCATTGTGGATGAGAAGCACTTCTTCAATCAAATCCTTACATTGAAAGTTCAATGCCCTCACTGAATGCATGAGCACATCGAACATCAAATAACCAAGTCTACTTCTCCACCATATAATGGCTGCCTGCCTAAACAGCTATGCAATGTAAATATTGAGGTATCTCCAAAACCAGCAGTGTTTTACATTGCAGGATCAAAAGGGACTGTACAGATAACAATTTATGGAGATGAAATGGTTTGTGTGCCAATAGTGAGACTTTAACACATGAGAAAAATAAATAAATAAAAATCTACTGAAGAGGGTACTATACATTAACCGAATAAATCCAAAATAGAATAGTTCTTTAAAACCATAACCCAATTCTATGCAAAGATTGTTGTTTTATTCGTGCAAAGTGGTATTTATTTTAAATTACACAAGTGGACATTGTTTATTTTGTCTACTGCAAAAGATAGGTTTTCCTAATTCATCATCATTTGTGCCTCCTGCTTGTCAGTGCTAGTCTTTCACGTATCGCTACCTGATGCTATTCTTGTGCAGTGAATCCATGGAGGCATTGTTGGTATCAGAGCTGGCTTTCTTATCCAGATTTTGGAATCTCTCTCGTGCAGTCAGTCCCTTCTGTGAGCTCTGTTTGGGGACATCTAATTTGCCCCCAAAACTCAGGCTCCCCTGAGCATCATCATAGGTAAAAAGCATTGGGTAACAATCATGACCCTGGAAAAGCAAGGAAAAAAGATTTAACAGGTGCTGCAAAAGCAAAATAAAATAATAATTACATATACTATTTACTTTAACATTTATTTATATATAATTTAACATGGTATATTTAACCAAAACTATAATATACTATGTGAAAGAAAAATAAATGTAGGACTAGAATCAAATTCTAACATTCTCACCTATAATCTAAAATAAAGATGTGACTTAAGAAGTTAAAAAACAGCTCTGCCCCCTACCCAAAAAAACCAAAATATTTAATAGACAAAATTCCAATTCAGTAAAAAGATGTACACAAACATTTACTTTGTCTTGGTATATTCCCTACACTTGACAAAAGGGG